CAACTTCTCAGTGAAGGCAGAGGAAGGTCATTGTGTGTGAGCGCTGAGTAGAAACTGTTTGCTTTGGCAGGTTCAAGGTTCACTGGTGCAGCTTTGATTTGTCTTTGCTCAGTAAACAACCATCCATGTGTTATGTGAGCTTTAATTAAATTAGGATATTTATTTAGAATAAACCCTCATTTAGCTGGTTGACATTGCCTTGAACTGATAAATACACGATCTTTGTGCTGTGAGATGTCTGGGCCTTCATGATCATTAAAGGGGCATTCCTCTGATTTAATCTATGAAGTATTCAGCACTAGTTGTAGGCTAAAGCCTTCCTCCAGTGGTCCTGGGGGAGCCAGAAGATCGCATGATCATCATCACCATCGTTAAAAACAACAGAAGAGGGAGTGAGGGTATAGATAGAATAAACGTTTTAAAAGTGGGCCTATTGTGCGTGCTGCTGTGCGCAATGTTATGCTTTAACCACTTCCAGGGACAGGGGGTCCCCAGAGTCTCGCATCGTTGTTTTGGGGGTCGCGGGATGAAAAGTTTGGGAACCCCTTGTATAGGCTACAGCGACATCAGAACATGTGTCTGAGTATTTTCTTCAAACGGTTAAAACTAGCCTGACATTTGACAACCAAGTTTGAAGATGTAGCCTACATTTAGGCTACAGCTGCATGGTGGCTGCTTTGCGATGGTTGTAAATCGGGGGTTATAGGAAAAAACAGCTGACAGCGACAGACTGACACCATTTATTACACAATGCACCCGACATTTCAGACTGACACCAATTATTCGCAGTCATCGTTTGCGTAAAAAGAGAAATCACTGATCTCCTCACCGACTTTCAGAGCGCCTACAAACAAAATAAACATTAGGAGGAAACTATGAGACAACAAATAGCCTGAGCCTCAAATCAGTTTTCCTTTAAAAATGAAGATATCTTACCTTCAAACTAGAACACCCTCACAGTGTTTTCCTTTGGGCAGAGTCACCTCCTCAAACACACCTCTCCCTCTTCTCAGGGATATCACGGACAAACACCCACAGCACTGAACTGTTCATTTTCTGCTCAGAGATGAACTGTTTCAGACCTCGCTTCTTCCCCCCAATGACGAAAAACGGTCTTCCTCTTTCGAAAACGTATTTCCCAATTGGTTGTGTTATCTTTGCTGCGGTCCCACATGTTGAAGGACTGCTACGACCTGGGACATTGTCGTGTTTCACTTGACCTGCTTTTGCTGCTGTCAGAACGACTTACTGAAAGAAAAGCAGCTGATAGACTACAAGCACACACCTACTGCTACTCCAACTGTAGAGAGCTGCTGCTTACTAAGGTACTGCTACTATGCGGCTATCCATGCTAATACTAGGCTAAAGGACTACAACTGTAGACTACTACAATTATTACTGTTACGGAAAGCCGTTTGGGCATTTATTAGATATCCTTCATATCAAGCTTCAGTTTCATCAGTTCTGTCTTTGTGAGCACTTGTTTACTAGTTGATCAGAAAAGGCTTTACTAGTTTTGTGTGTGTGTGTGTGTGTGTGTGTGTGTGTGTGTGTGTGTGTGTGTGTGTGTGTGTGTGTGTGTGTGTGTGTGTGTGTGTGCACTTACCCAGGGACTGCAGATGTAATCTATCGTATCCGCCAAATCTTACAAGTGCAAAACATCTTTACATGCTCCTTGATAAAACTAAACAGTAAACTGTAGCCTATTATGCTAGTTTAGAAAAAAAGTGAATACTAAAAAGTTTAACCTACTTATCTCTGCATGTTTTCTAGTAGACATTTAAAGTACAAACAGACTAAATGTGGTATTAAGACATCATTCCAGTCAACTGAATTACACTGCAAAGTGAATTAAAGATTAAATGAGGTGAATGTGCCAATAACTTGATTCATCAATTTCACCAGAAGTTTTCTTTAGCCTTTTTATGTATTGTCTCACTTCTTAAATTTACTTGAGAAAATATATTGTGTACTCCTATTCTCACCTCTGACCATGAGGGCATCTGTAAAGAGAGAATGAAGGGGCCTACACATCAGTGTATGAGAGTCTATTACTAAGCTTTGTAATGGTGGGGTTATTAGTCTAACTGGGTTCATTTTCCTGTAGAGGGAAACTGTGTTGTTTCTTCTTTTAAGCAAAGTTATCCATCCCAGCTGAGCCTCTGCATATGACATGTAATTCACATTTTCCACCACATGGTGGGGCAGTCGGCCTGTGTCTGAAGTAAAATGCCTTAATGACTGGAAACATTTTTTGTGTTGTTGTATTCATGTGTTTTTAACCTCAACGTAAAGCACATTAAGCTCGCCTGTAATAAAATGTACTTCATAAACAAAATTGCTATTAGCGCTATGAAAAAAAACCCAGACAGATTCTTTACTTTAAAAATATGTGATGCTCCAAAACAAAACCGTTTATTTGTTCAGAGTGTATTACATTACGTCTGTTGTATGTGAGTTACATGTCAGGTATTATTCAGCTTGTTAATAACCTTTTCTTCTACGTTGAGAGAGTGCTGTGTTGTTTGGTATTTACACATTTGAGTTTTTATTGCTCTTCTGTAAAACATCGACATTCAAAACTGTCTTTAGAGTTCTGTTTCCGAGGCTTGACCAGCGGGCCTGCATTCACATATCTTTCTGATCCCGTGTTTTCAATGACTCTCTTTTAAACGTCACTCGAGTCGTGAGTCTCCCCCTCCGGCGCTTTGAGCGCACCGGCGCTCTCCATCTTATTTTTGCCACTGAGGATGTGATAAACAAGGAAAACCAGCAGCACTACAAACAAGACAGTGCACACTATTATCCCCACCAGACCACCCACTGTCACCCTTGAGGGTTGCCTTGTTGGATTTGGATATGTCACAGGTGGTGCTGTGGGGAGGAGGGTCGCGTATGCTCCAGAGCCCTCCGACCCTCCATCAGAGTCTGTGTCATCGTTCTTTTCGCATCTGAATTCGTTGACTAGTGTATATCCTCCATGACAAGAACAGACATAGCTGCCAAACGTATTTTTACATGTTTGATCACAATAAAAGAACTGACACTCGTCCATGTCAATGCACATCCTAACGGCTCCCCTTTCGTCAGTTATGTAACCTTCAGGGCAGAAGCACTGGAACTTGTTATTAGGGTCACACTCGGCGACACATTCCTCTTTCCCGCAGTGGCGTTTACACCTATGTGGTTCCTTTGAGTCCTCTTTGTACCCATCATAACAAGAGCAGCTGTAGCTACCATGCGTGTTGGTGCACATGTGCTCACATGGCGCGGACACGCACTCATCCTGGTCGACACACATGTCGCCAGCAGGCTTGAATCCATCCTTGCAGACGCACTGAAACCCGTCAATGCCGTCGACGCATCTAAAGTTCTCCCCGGGACACTGCCGCTCGTCCATGCAGTCGTTGAAGTCCACGCACGACATGCCGTCGTGCGCCAGCTTAAAGCCGCTGTGACAGCCGCACGTAAAAGTGTCACCCTGCTTGTAGCAGGCGTGCATGCAACCCAGGGTCAGGCACGGGTCGGGTGTGGCCTCTTCGCAGGTGACTTTGTTTGCGGTGTTGACGATTTGTCCCGGCTGGCAGTAACACGAGGGTACATTTTGGGGGTTCATTAAGCATTTGTACTCACACCCTCCTTCCGTTATCTCGCAATTCCACGGCGCCTGCAGCCACTGTTCGGAGACGCAGACGTATTTGGTCTCAGCTGGCATCCGAATAGCGATGCTGCCCGGGGGCAACGACAACAAATCCTCGCCCTGAAACCCCAAAGTGGTCATGTACATGACAGACTCGCCCACTGCAGCTGCGAGACTTTTGCACGGCTCTTTGATGCCGTGCTCACAGAGAAACCCTTCTCTGTGTTCCTCGCATGGTTCCTGGATCCATTTAAAGTCATCCTCCCGGGAAACTGAGACACAGCGACGAGAAGAGCAGCTGCTGTCAAAACCCGGCACCCAGTTGAAAAAGTCACTTTCGCTGTCTTTGGTCACCCACTGGAAACCTTTAAGATCCGCAGCAACGTCTGGACAGCCGGTCGGTAGATTCAAACCAATCCAGTACCGCCCCGTGAAGTTCCCCAACAAGATGAAAAGTACATCATGGGATACAGACGAACGCACTGTCATCAAGTGTCCGCTAAGATCTCTGCACTGTTTCTGTGCGGTCGAGTAATCGCCTACATCTCGAAACACAGTGAAACATTGGTTTCCGATGCAGTAACCGCTATTTGGCTCCATTGCACTGTTTTTTCCCACCAGAAGAGTCAACAAATAACAAAAAGTCCAGTTACATCCACCATGTTTGAACCTTGGCTGTGTCCACTCAAGTTCTTGCGCGTTCAAACAGTCTAAAGGCTTGTTTGTTTGAGAGAATCTTGTGCTCGCATTTATAATCCCCAAGTTCCATGTTAGTGCCCCGGCAAAGGAAGGAAGTCGTTCTTAATCTGCCTGCTGCTCACTGTCTCCTCACAAACTTTCTGCTGGCCCCGAGTACCAAATTCCTCAATTACGCACGGTCTTTACGCAAGTACGCACGGGGCCACGCGCACGCAAGGGAGCGTGTACCCGACGCCCCCTTGTGCAGAAGCCCCTCCCAAGTCCAGTCTCCACAAAATGTCAGTCCAATCTATTCGTTGAGACTCTCGATCAGACTTTACGCCCAATTTTCATTGAAAACAGTGAGAGTTAAAAAGCGTAATTAGAATGATACTTTCCATCACTCTGTCACTTGTTCAGGACATTTCTCCGCGAAACGAAGCGTCACAGTGTTTCCAAACTATGACGAATTAGAAGGAGGTTAAGACAATTGTAGTTTTCATCTGAGAAAAGAGCAGCCGAGAAACACATACATAGATAGATTAAGAGGAAAAACAAGATAATCATCTTGTGTGATCATTGTGTATTATATATATATGTATTTGGATCTATACTATCTCAAAGACAACATTGTAGAGTAAATGATATGGCATGCAGAGAAAGTAGAACACAGGCACAGTGCAAACATCGTTTTTGTGTTTATTTGCTTAATAAAGTCTTCATTTTGTCTTCCCCATATCTGCATATTTACATTTATCTATATTCATACTTTAAAGATGACCAAGGCGGCACAGTTGCATTAATACATTTTTTGCCTCTATAATGGTGATACTTACTCCAGTGTTGCACCTACACATATATGTGGAGCACCAGCTTATTGTCTAAATAAAAAAAAACAGCAGTTTGAATCTAAATTCACCAGCATTGCAGGAACAGTGTAAAGTGAACAGGAGAGTTAATCCATAGTGGCATTTGATCATTCAATTGTGACATATTTACAGACAAAACTTCAGACATGTAGCAGCTGAGTTAATCAGAATAAGGTGCAAATGAGGTTGTTTTATATATGTGGACTATAGCCGCAGCATCTGGGCTCACAGTCTACAGTTATATGAAAAACATTCCACCACATGCACATGTCTGTGGTCTCAATCGATATTACACTGTAGCCCCTCAGGATTAAAAGTGAACATAGAAATATGAACTTCCATTACATGTGAAATATTCTGATGCACATAAATTGATGAATAACTCTTTTGTTTGATCAAATTCACAGTCTATACTGTAGGGTGGTAGAATTGATTGTGCTTCTGGGTAAAGCCCTGCAGAGTCACGATTTAATGTTTGGGGAACTGAATGGACTTTACCAACATCTTTAGATTTACAAAGAAACTACACGTTGAAAAGGTCAGAATATGGATTTGTAATAGATAAGAAACCAGACAGGACTATGAATTTGAAAAAACTTGAATATGTCAGTAAAGCTTAAATATGCTTTTAATGACTTAATGTGCATCAGAATTAGGTCCAAAGGCAACAAATATATATCTCAAATCTAACAGGTGCTTTAAAAAATAAGACATTGGGGACAGTGCGTGGACCCCATGTGCGGAGGCTGTGGTCCGCACATGAAGACCCAAAAGCCCCCAAAACAAACCTTAAAAAAAACACATTGTGTCTAAATTCATGATCCAATGCAAAACAACTTAACATATTTTATGATCCAATGTTTGCCACAGTGCGACATTGAGCCTGTGTCTCAACAGAGCACTAAGAAACAGTTTGCATTTGACTAGTGAGATTTGCATTCTTTTGGATGTTTTTTGTGTCATTTTACAAACATAACATTTAAAGATGCACAAAGCAGTTCACAAATACAGTAAGTCTGTTATGACAAAGATGTGACATGTAACATTATGAACAATACAAATGTCATGTGGAGACCAAGGCAAATGAAAGAAATAGTGTCCAGTACAGTGTGATACAGTGTTATTAGACAGCGACTACACTTAAACAGTGGCAGTAAACAATCTTCTCATTCTTATGTCACTGATGAAATAAAAAAGGTTTAGTGTCATTGCAAACCTGACATGTCAGTGAGGTCCTAAAAAGCATTGCACTTACAGTTTTTAAGGACTCTCAGTTTTTTCACTGGTCAGTCAAAAGATAACCTCTTATAGGTTTCTGTGGTCACCTGCTGCAGGTAGAAAATATCAATGTCATGGTGTTTGAAGGAGGAAAGCTGAAATTTGCCACAGCGTTTCAACATGTTTCGGACCAGAAAACACAGAAGCACTGCAAGCAGAACCACGAATACTGTGATACTCAGGACGCTGCCAGTCTTGATGTAAGAGGGGACTACGGCTGGCTGTGCGCTCTCGGGTGTGGGGTACAGGGAGGTCGAGCCTGATTCATCATCGCCCTTCTCCTTCTGTTTAACACATTTGTACTCCTTGTACAGCTCGTACCCCGGGTCACACGAACATTTGTAGCCACCAAATGAATTTGAACATGTGTGATCACAGTGTCTCTTGTTCTCACATTCATTAATGTCCGTGCAATAGGCTGTGCCATTGACCGTATCTGAAATGTAACCAAGAGGGCAGGAACACTGAATTTTCCCATCATTAGTAATGCATTTGGCTAGACAAGCTCTCTCTGTGCAGTGCTGCTCACACTTTGTGGGGTCTGTGGCTGACACTTTATATCCCGGCAGGCATACACACTGGTAAACCCCTCTGTAGTTCTCACACCTATGTTCACACTTCATACAGATTGTACTGTCGACACACACGCCCTCTTCCTCATGGAAGTCTCCTTTGCACCTGCAACGAAACCCTTCCTGAGTGTCCTCACACTCTTTATTCTCACCTGTGCAAGGGTTCTCCTCTGTGCACTCGTCCACAGCCACACGGCTCCTCCCGTCTTTGTCGCACTTACACACCTGTGTGCCACCCTCCTTTTGGCATTCATGCTCGCATTCGGTGTCAGGATCCTTGGTGCAGGTGATGTTGTTAGAGTTGAGACTTTGCCCTGCGGGACAGATGCAGGAGCGTGTTGTAGAATTGCAGTTGTGGTCACACCCACCCATCATCACCTCACAATTCCATGGAGCTTTTAACCAGCCACTTGAGAAACACACATACTTGGAGTCTGGAAATATGCTGCCGACCTTTTCTGCCACAGCGATGGTTCCTGGTGGAAATGTTTCTGAATTTTTTACCTTGAAGCCCATATACGTGTCGTAGGTCACCTGTGCGCCCCCACCTGTCGGCAACTTACCGCAGGGCTCGTCGAATGCAAACTGGCACAGAAACCCGTCAAGCCTTTTTTGACACGGCTCCAACAGTACCTCGAGTTTCCGACCCACCACCACTGAAATGGAAGAGCAATTTTTGAGACCTGCCTCCTCTGCTCTCTCGCTGGTGCCGTGCACTTCCAGCCAGTATTGGCCGCTAATCCCACCTACTATGCTGTTCAATATCACTTCGCTTGCCGAGCTGTAAACGAATAACTCTCCACTCGGCTCTTTGCAGCGGCTGCGCGCACCTTTGAAGTCTCTGGGCTCCTGGAAAACCGCATGACATGTTTTCCCCGCGCAATGTCCTCGCTGGGAGTGAACTGTTTCCTCAAGCCAAAACAGTAAAAGCACGCAAATAAGTGCACTTGTTGTTGGTACCATGATGTCGATGTTAGAAGAGCTTGTGGTGGTATAAATCTGTCTGTTCGACGATCAGAAGTTGGTAGAGTGACTGAAAGCGCAACATGCTCCTCATTTATAAAAGCCTCCTACTGTAATGTTTTTTTAAAGTCGGACCAGGAGAGGAAGGAAGTTGTGTTCGGGCCAGTAGTTAAGCCCCGGCCTGATTGCTCAACCCCTCCGCTGTCCGAAATCCTTATCTCAAAAAAAAAGAGAAAGGTGGAAAAGAAGAAAAAGGTCCATGATAACACAAATATACTCAGAATACAAGCGCACATACATTCATTTTTTTAATTTAACTTTGATGAGAGTTGATAAAATTAGGCTATACGAATCCTAATCCTGCCCATTATGTAGCTCATCCGTTTCTCATTGAAGATAACAGCCTACTCCTTTTGAATTTAGAGCCCTTTGAGGCGACCAAATAGTGTAGATATTTAAAATCAAAACCTCATGTCATATTTTGGGAAAAGAAAATGCATCACAATGAGTTTACTGGTTTAATAAATAATAATAATAATAATAATAATAATAATAATAATAATAATAATGAGCCAAATAGCCTATAGAATTGAATATATAATTTTTAAACTCTGGTAATCATTTTTAAAGCTTGTAGAGGGTCAGCACAAAATTACATTGCTGATGGCTGTGGCTCAGAGTCTGTCGTCTCTTTACCAGAGGGTCGGGGGGTTCGATCCCCAGCTCCTGCAGCTACATGTCCGATGTGTCGTTGGGCAAGACACTTAACCCCAAGTTGCTCCCGCTGCTTCGCCTGCGATGTATTAATGTGTTTGAATGGGATGAGTTACTTCTAATGGTCTATTTACATATCACTGGTCACTTTTAAAACTCGCTTTTTATTTGATTTATTGTTGTTTTATTACGATGTGGTGAATGTTCAGTAGCATTTCTCATCAACGGTTGGCTTTTAAATATATGTAAAATGTGCTTTGTGACCTGTTTTGAAAAGTGCTATACAAATAAAGGTATTATTATTATTGCTCATTCTGTCATTTACAATATTTCTGTTGTTTTGTAGCCCTCACATTAGGCACAGCATTACAAAAAAAATCTTTTCACACTTTCTTATAATAAAACAATTATGAAACTTTAACCTGCCCCAATTGAACACAGTTTGATCCAACCGAGTGATCTGATTGGACGAGAGGCTTTCCATGAGTGCTGATAATCTCAATGGGACCTTTTCACTTTATGTATCACTGCACCTCCACCAAGTGCTCAGAATACTATGATTTCAATGATTAGTAACTTTGATATCTGCTAACTACTATATGCTGTTTATCTGTGTATCTGTTGCATAAAAGCAGCAATACTGAGATCATGATGATGGATTGAATATCTGTACTGCTGCACTGTTAAAGACACTAGGCCTGGTCTCAGTACCTACAACCAAATCACAGCAGTGCTAGTTTTAACACATCCCCCCCTCTTGTTACATGTGTTACATTACTTACGTAAATGGATGGGTTGATTTAATGAAGTGAGGTTGTATTTGTTACTTATCATCTGACATTTGTTAGCTGTTTAATAAGCAACTTTTGTAAAAGTATAGTTTTTTTTCTTCAAAACTTGTTCTTGTTCCAACAGAAATACAAGAATTCTTATTTATAGACCCCTTCTTCTGATTGCATTTCATTTCACATATCTACCTCTTAACTCTCAATTGTCTTCAGTAGCATCAAGGTCCTAGAGGAACAAAAGTTCATCTCATTGTGCATTCTGTGTATGGTTGAAATGGCAATAAAGAGAACCTGAACTTGAACTGAGTCTTAATTCCAGGAGTTTTAATGGTAACATGATGCTCTTCCTTTTGCATTGTAGGCAAACGAATAGAAAACCACAAAACTGTTTCAATTATTTTTGGTGACCATCGAGAATAAATAACCAAGATTTAAAATCCACATTACTTAAAAAAAGCTTGACTGAGAGACACTGACTCATGGATTCGGAAGTTGGACAACCTCCCTTGCGTAACAACAATAACTGTTTGGGTATGGAGACTACTGTCTGTTGTGTGGACATCCTCAATCAGTCATCATCCTTTAAACTAGTCATCATCCGACTCTCTCTCTTTAAGATTAGAGAGGCAGGCAAAGGAGAGGGAAATCCTTCCACATTCATAAGGGTGTGTATGGGGGGGGGGCATCTATAGATGGATAGGAAGTGAACCAAATTAGCGCATAAAGGAGTTACACCTTATTCTATTTGGAGACTTACCGTATTACTATGCTTTGAGTCATTTACACATCAAGAAACAATCCACAGCTAATATGCTCCATGCTATTTCATTGCTTCCTTATTCCACTCATGAAAGAGGTGTGGTTGGAATGGGGTGGAGGGGATGTGACTGAGGCGTACAAGGAAGGGATCCTTTGTTCATGCTGGTCAAACTAAATAATCATTGGATCATTGTCGTTTATTTAAATTAGTGACTGTTCAAGTTTCGGACTTTAGCCAAGACACAGAAAGGACGCCAGCGTGGATTCAATCTAACACAGTGACACACACTTCTGTGTAATCTTAACAAAAACTCAGCAGGAACCAGGCTTATCAGTCTTCAATAATATTTTCTCTGATCTATCTTTAATGCCCACATTGAGTTTATCCAGGGAACATTCAAGGCAAGTCTGCAGACAGTTCCCTTTCTCCCATATAAAGTCACTGGTTTATTGTGTTTTCACAGTAAATCATGCATTGTAGTTACTCTGACAAGGTTTGGTGGCAGTGTCACTAACAACAACACAGTATTGTTTTCAGATCAGCATTTTTTTGTGCATATATCAGTTTAAACTTGTTATAGTAGCTTCACCATGACTGATCTCTGAATGCCTGAGTATTATTCTGCTCCCCTTTAAAAGAGTAAATACACCCACATAATGATCAAATGTTAAGGTCAGTGTGTGTGTGTGTGTGTGTGTGTGTGTGTGTGTGTGTGTGTGTGTGTGTGTGTGTGCCAACTCCAGTCACCCATGACATAGCAACAGAGCTAAGTCAACTCATTGGTTGGCTGGCTTGCTCTCTCTCTCTCTCTCTCTGTGTGTGTGTTTAGGTGGTCTTCATGAGAGCCTTGCAGCATTAAAGCCTTTTTTACATCCAATCCCTATCTACTCCCTTACATTGAACCATCTTTGGCAGATTATTCAATCTAAAGCTAAAACACGAAGCAACTCATGCTTTGTGTTGAAGTTACTAGAACAACTCCAGAAGTCTTTTACAAATTAAAATTTTAAACAGGTAAATTTCACGACAAATTTAGCTTTTGGCAGCTGATTGAAATAAATCAGTGATGAAAAATGGGCTGCATGGGTATGCACTACTGAGGCACTATTCCAAAATCTAGATCATCTAGACTATCTTTCAGTTTTTAAAAAAATAAAAAAACACAGGGAGTGAAAAACACACAGATGACTTTACAGTTTTAATGGTTAGAGAAATGTGTAACCACTACTGGCTGTAAACATGTTTACTTATCCTCTCAATTTTGGTAAATAAACGGTAAAAGGACTTCAGCTTAAAGCGTTTTACGCCACAGGACACATCTACCCATTCACACACTGATGGAGAGGCTGCTATGTAAAGGGTCCATCAGTATGAACTAATACACATTCATACGCTTAGGCTGAAGCAGCAGGAGCAACTTAATTGTCTTGCCTATGGACACATTGGACATGTGGAGTCTATAAAGTTTGACTTCCATTCCGAGGGAGCGTCAAGTGGCCACACAAGGGATAACAGGTAAGAGCAACGATTTGCAACTAAGATACCGCTGAGGATTACCAAGAGTAAGTTATCATTGGCTGAGTAGAAAAGGGAAAGGGAGTTGTTTCCATTTCCTGGATGAAGATAAAAAGGAAGCCAAACTAAGGTACATTTTTCCAGTGACCTCACACACACACACACACACACACACACACACACACGCACACACAAACAGAAAGATACACACCCCTGACCAACCCAACCCCTGAGGAATAGACTTGGCTTTGCTGCTGTGCCATGGGTGGCTCCCGTGGGCAGAGAGAAGAAGATATGCCCGCTTACTTGCTCAAATGCAACAAAAAGTTTTGATTCAAGCACAACACTTGGACCAGAGGTCTTCTTCAGGTAATTGTTTTGGACTCCAGTGTGCACACAAAGCAGCAGACACGGACGTTGTTGGCCTGAAAGTATTGAATATGGGTCAGAAAAATGTATAAGAAAAAGGGTGAACATTTTAAAATTGTTGTTATTATGATAAATTTCCTAGGGTGACCATATTTTTTATACCTCCAAAACAGGACACTATAATTTGACCACAAACCCACATGTATAGAGCTAATAGTGCCGTGTTACCCTTTGAGAACATTTTGTTCCTTTTAAGAATAGACTGATTGATTGATTGATTGATTGATTGATTGATCCACAGATTGGTGACCAGCACTGGTCACACAAGGAGGCAGGCAAAGGGGCTCTCCTGAGCAGGCAGTTTAAGTTGGTTGTCGGCGGTGTTTAACTCACTGAAGTAGATCACAAAAGTTCTACCACCAGCCTGTACCCATTTGTGTTTGCTCATTTTAACATGGCTTTGTATCGTATGTTGGCATTCCCACCGCGTGCGACTGAAAAATGACACTTGCAGTGTTTGCAAGTTCATATAGGCTGGTGCTTTTAAAAGAAAGCTGTAACTCTCCTGGAGCTCTTTGAAAAAGCCAGACTTCTTTTTCAGTATGACAGCTCTCCTACCTTTCATTACGCAGATGTTTCTGTTAGCATGATAAGCTAGGCTAGTTAAGCAACATCTGCATCCCAGAGATTGAATGACACATGTTTAGACAAATCAGTATTACATTTTGACTCGTCTGGCATTAGTAAAGTGTTTATATCGGTTAAAATAACAACAGCCTGGGGCGCTGGTGGCGCAGTGGTTAGTACGCACGCCCCATGTGTGGCGGCTGTGGTTCTCCAGGCGGGAGGATTGGGTTCTGGTCCAGCCTGTGGCTCCTTTCCTGCATGTCATTCTCCACTCTCTCTCTCCCTTATTTCCAACTCTGTCCACTGTCCTATCCCTCAAATAAAGGCATAAAAGCCAAAAATAAATCTAAAAAAAAAGCAACAGCCTTGGCCACAACAATGACTGATATATACA